CTTTCTGGATTGTGTAGTCTCTAGAAGTCTGCACAGATCACATGAAGGGGGAGGAAAACAACGCTGTTCAAAAGCGAAAACACCGCGAAGTCGCAGTTCGAAACAACGCATTTAATCGCCAGCTTTCCTTTGCCATAGAGGCGTGAGATCACGTGATCGAATCCTGTACGCCACCGCGATTGCAGCGCCCACTACTCTAGCGTTGGGCCTCAATCCCAATATATAGGAACCTGTCGCCGTATTTCGACTTCCCATGTAGCTCTGCATGAACCCTGTTTTGACAAATATTTAAGCACTAAACATTATTGCGTAATTATGAATTTGTGGAGGCCTGATGACAACTCTTCAACACACTTGTCTTTTATCGTACACACGCCTAATATCGAATGATTTTTCAACTAAAGCGAAACTAATTGATGGGCTAGTGCTCTAGGTCGCAAAGGCTTAATTTTCAGGATGAGGGGCGTGAATTCATAAAATTCTATAAATTGTACACAATGCCTGAGTGGCCATGCATGCATACTTCAAGGGGCACATTGAGCAGCACCACCGTTACGGCGTTCGGCGTTCTATCGCTAGGTCTCACTCACCCAGTGAACCACCGATATCCTGTCAACATAGAAATAGGTACAATGCGTCTACGTCTATCGATAACATCTAATCTACATCCCCATAATGTGCCATCCTTACAGTCCAAAGAGCCTACGTATTATTAGCGTCGTATGCACTTCTCTCTTAGACAAAAAGTAGACATTGCAAATGATGTCGCAAATGAATACGTGCTCAGAACATCAAATGCATCCCAGAAAAATTTTTCTGCTAAAACTGCTTTAGTTGACGTTTAGAATCATAAATATATACTGGCACGTAAAATCTAAAAAGTGCTCGAACATAAATGAATATTTTTGTCAGAGCTTGCATGATGCATACACTTGCATGCGCGCAGAGATAAAACACGAGAACGACCATAAAATTGACATGTGTCGCATTAGTTCTGCCGTACATGAATAGTGCGAAATCATGTGGCGCGAAGGTACTTTCAAATGTGAAGCACTTTAGGTGCCTAGGCTCCTGTCACTTGGTGTAACGCAAGTAAAACCACACACACAAAAAGAAATGATGAAGCAAGTGAGAAGTAGTAAGAGAAGGAAAAAGAAGAAATAAGAAGAAAGGTGGAAAGGGCAATGAAAATAGATAAAAAATAGTGGAGAACTGAAGACAGAAAAATTTGCTAAACAAAAAAAGAGAGAACGAAAGAAAGCTCAAAAGAAACAAAGCAGACTTATTCCTAGCCTCACACTTCCTTCAGTCTTACTGCATGTATAGTTTTGTGTGCTAGGGACCTGCGCTCTCACTGCAGTCTGGCTTTTAGCTGGTGTGCCATACTTACAGAAAGCATCAGCACCATGAGACTGGCCTTAAGTTTGTCGTCTGACAGCAATCCGGCCAGCCTCGCCGCAGTGGTCTAGTGGTGAAGGAACTCGGCTGCTGACACGCAGGTCGCGGTTTTGAATCCCGGCTGCGGCGGCTGCAGTTTTTGATGGAGGCGAAATTGCTGTAGGCTCTTGTGCTCAGATTTGGGGGCACGTTAATGAACCTCAGGTGGTCAAAATTTCCGGAGCTCTCCACTGCGGCGTCGCTCATTATTGGGTGGTGGTTTTGGCACGTTAAACCTCACATCTATCAATTATTATGGCCAGCCTCACGCCTTTGATGCTTTCTATAAAGTACAGCTGAGCGGCAATGAGCAAGACTGCCACGAGACCGCATGTATAACACACCGACTACATGTGGTAAGTGTGCGGATTGCTTGAAAAACCTCTTTTGTTTACGAAATGACAATTTCTATGTATATCTATTGAATGTCCCTTCAGTGTCCATGTGCAACGTACCTGCAACCTTACTCGGCGAAGCTTCTCATAGTTGGGGGTACATCTAATCTTTGTAATTTGGATTTTCAGGAGATATTTACAATGTACACAGGAAACATACCATGGATGTCTATCCGATATTTGTGGTTCACTGGGCAGGAGTACGGCACGGATATACGATGAATGCAGCTTGAGATCACAAAATGCTTTCTGCTGTGCAGTTTTGTCGTCGTTATTTTTCACAAGCACATAAATAGGTGTCTGCTATCTACGCGGTTTAAGCTACGAAGTGATAGACGTAAACAAATTAAACTGTTCGCAGTCACGGTTGCTGTTGCTCGAAGTGCATGGGCGGGCAGTACGCCATTTCTGTGTGCCACTGCCTCACTCGGCGCCCGCCTTCGCATTAGTCATTTGACAGCTGCACGAGGTCGCACAGCACAGAAAATAATATTGTCTATTATTCTCTCCAGCAGCCTTTACGTTCTTTGAAACACATTCTTTCCTTCGCCGTTGGCCGGTGTTTGCTCAATACACTGTAACAAAATAACTTCGAGGTTGGAGTAAAACGCTTGTCCTCTTGCGACCGCCCTATTCGGAGCAATTTTCGCTCCGGACCCTCAGAGCAAAGTGTTCACTCCAGCTGACCGGACCAATTGCGTGGCATATCCGGAGCGTTTCTCACTGATCTTTCACTCCGGCTATCCGCAGTAATTTCGTAGCACAGCCGGAGCATTTTTTACCGGCCGTTCACTCCGGCTGGCCGGAATGATTACGTGTTCGCGGGTTTGTCACTCCGGCTATCTATCCGCAGTTTTGGCAGGTCACGTCCGGAGTATTTTACGAATGACCTTTCTTCGTCCGGACGGAAATTCAGTAAGACAAATCAGTAGTATTAGGTTAATTCTCCTGTATTTATTTTATGCTGATCCTTCACGTGTCGGTTAGATGAAGAAATATTCAGATCGGATGCAAGCAATGGAGAGTTACTGCGTTTTTTTCACAGAGCTCTAGCAGATAAAATAAAGAAATCAATTCTGTTCTTATTTTTGAATTCATTAAAAATAAGCTGCCATTTCTGTTTAAGAACCTAGCAATGGGGAAAAGAAGACACGAAAAAACAAACACGCAAAAAACCACCAAAAATGAAACATAAAACGACTTCAAGCAATTTAGACCCTTACAGTTTTTATGTTTGCAGCTTGTCTTTGAGAAAAGCGTACCTTATTTCTCCTTTGCAAAATAATTTTTGATAGAGTTGGCACTGTTTATTGTTTCCTTGTTTTATTTGCACTGCGCACTCTTTTCGCTACTTGTAGTAGTGAACATTTTTCAAAGTATACTTATATCATGAGCATGCATTGCTTCAAAACGAACCACCCTAATTATCATAGAAAGAGAAGTTCACAACTACGCAAACAATTAGTTTGTAATAAAAGGTGATAACATTCAGTACCTTATAGCAAATGAATTTCTATCATATACCGGCAGAAGTAAAGGAAGGTGGACTAGTTTACCCGACATACGCGTCTGTACAAACGTCCGGAGATCACACAAGGTGATGCAAGTGAGGCGTTACAACGTGCGCGCCAGAATTTTAGGAATTTTTTTCCCCAATTCTATTTGTAGCGCAGCGTTGTTGCATTGTCCAGGTCAAAACTAGTCTCGTATTCGAGCACAGTTCTTCAGGAAGAGATGGAAGCATTTTATTAGAGAGATAGGGCACATGTAGGCGAACATTTTTATAAATTTACCTGTTTGGTTGGGAAAAGTTAACTCCTGTCTCCACCTACTTCTCTAAAAAATAAAGACTGGATTAACGGTCATGACAGTAAGACTGGTGGTGGTGGCTATGGTCAGGAGAAGAAGGCGCCTAAGTTCTACAGCCCGGTAGGAAGCATGGCACAGCGCCTGCGGGTAGCGGAACAGTGGATAGAAAAAAAAAAAGGTCAGAGGTGTTTTTTTTTTCTCCCCTTAAGACTGATAAAAGAAAAAAAAATGTAGCATCATCACACTACTCTCTCCCATGATGAAAACAGATAATACGGCAAGTTTCTTTAGAAGGTGGTCTGTATTTCCTGTCTTTCAATACCACGACTCTCCCTCCTACAACGTTCCACCGTGTCAAATGTTTTTTTTTTCTTATCTCCCTTTCCATAGAAACGTGAGTGCTCCGTACCACGTGCGTCTGAACGACAGTTTTACCTGTTTGCATTCTTTTCGCATTCCTTGTCACCATAATCTAGTCCACTCCTTTTCCCCTCTCTCTCTTGTCCGCAAAGCATGACAATCCCCGAAGATATCTCAAAGCCACTTATACAACCAAAATAATTTTTTCATCAAATTGACTTCGTGTATGCGTTCTAAAAGTCGGTATCAAACACATAGTGGTAGCTCAATTCACTACATTTGTAAAGAATTAACGCCTATTTCAATTATTCGTGCTTCATTAGTTCTACCTACGCGATAGATCAAAATAAATTTTACGCAGTGGTAAACGTTTACCTGGCTTTTATTAACGCAGAAAGCGGATAAATATTACCGTATATGTTTACTGAAGCGATGAAATAAATTTTTAAGCAGCAAGGTTTACTTATAACAAATATTAGCTTCTTACAAAGTCAAACCACAAAAATGGTATTTTCTATTATTGAATGTCAAAGTAGGTCTCCAAGTATTACAGTGGTGTGACTAATATTACCTAAGCTATGTAAAGAAACAAATACATGGTCCAAACAACGCGCTATCACAATTTTGCTGACTATTTCATTTATATCCTCTAAGTTTAGCCTGTGATGGATAAACTGTTTGGTATCCAACAACCATTACGCAATTTTAACACTACTGGACAAGAATAGCACAGATATTTCAAGAAGAGCTCACTCACCATTTTGCGCTACACCAGTGACAGATGGGCCGCGCACCGCTCGCAAGATCACAGGTTGTCTTTTGCTGCCAGGAACCATCACACGATTACCGTTCGCACAACCTCCACTTTCGATGATAACCTTCGTGGCTGCTTGTAGTCGTTTGTGGTATCCAGAAGGTAATATCCAGAGCGGGCGCATCTTTCTCCAATTCCTCCCAGCTGGGTATATATTTTTTACAGTGTTATAGAGCTTAAGCGCCATGGCGCCTGGTGCGGCCATGCGAGCTCGCTACGCCACCGGCTTGAGACCGACGGCCATCGAGACCTTCTTACCAATAATAGAAGTTGACGCCGGTCAAATACCGGTGACAATCAAAGAAGCCACCGTCGCTGTTGGTCGGGTGAGCCTGCCGCCGGCGCAGATCTCGAAGCGGCCGCCAGCCAGCTTGCAAGCTACCGAGGTCGAGTGAAGCCTACGTTGATAGCTTAAAGGTTTCAGACGGTGAAACAACAGAAGCAGCCACTGATTATCGCAACAGCTTACTTTCATTATCATTGAAATGATTCTTCACAATTCTTCGTAACTCGGTACTTTGAAACGAGTTATTGCGGCGGTTCTTTGAATAATTGAGCCGCGTCGTGCGTGAATCAACGGTGCGAAATACCTCGAAAGTTAGCACTTGTCCTCGTTGTCCCCTTCGTCCGTTTTCTGCAATGCGCTTCACTTGTAAAAAAACTAAACTCCAATTGATCGTTGCAGATCTTCACTGCACTGATAATTTTTTTGTCGGTCGACAGATGCTCAAACGTTCACCCACACAAGGCACTGCAGTTTCTCACCGGCGTGCTAAACAGAAGCCCGTACACACGCACGTTACGACCGAAAAAAGGTTTTGAAATCTCCCAGAGGAAACATCTAGCCGTGTGACCTGATACTTCATGGGGAGTTTAACAAAGTCATGTCGTTAACATGCTTTATTAACAAAAACGCCAGGAGCGTTTTGAGACGACATGTGTCGAGTTCAGATTTCTACGACGAGGTAAATAATTGGGGCTGAGTTACTTTTTTTGGGGGGGAGGGGGGGTTATATGCTGAAAAAACTCTCATTTCGGCAAATTTTTCCTTACGGTGTACATGGTGCAATGTTTTCTGGTAGCAAGCGACCATTTAACCTTGTTAGAGAAAGAATGAGCTATAGTTGGGAACATTCCTTTTTCAACCACTATACAAAAGCAGCAAAGAGTATATATGCATAAAATTACATGCTGGAGCTTTCTGTATAGTCTGGCGCTGTTTAGCGAGTACGTGTTGCAGCTGATGAGGCATCGTACCTGAAAAATGAACTGTTGGTTTTACAGCAAACTCTCGCATATTTTTTTGTTGTACTCATTCTTACCCTTGCATACATTCAACAGAAATGATCTGGGTGTGTAGATAGACTTATTTGAGTTGCAGTGCCCTTGTTTCGACGGTGCGCAAAACGGAGAGCGCACGACCACAAGTGGAAGAAAATAAATACGCCACTTAGCGGTGGAAGGGAAGCCAAAGATCGCGTTACATGCTGGCGTCAAATTGTCATTGAGACGTCTCTTTGTTTCGCTCCTGTGGCGTAAGCCTGCAGGATCATCTTCGGTATGCTTAGTGGCCGCTAAGTAAATAGCTAAATATATATATATATATATATATATATATATATATATATATATATATATATATATATATATATATATATATATATACTAAGATTAAGATAAGAAATTGACCATGCCGGAGCCTGATGGTGTTGTGCATACACAAACATAACACGGCCGAAAATCACAAAGATTCTCGTTGGTATAAATGTTCTTGGCCACTGCCCAGCCGATTTCGAGAATGATATATGTAGCATCAATATTGGCTAGAATTTGCAAATACTAACTATATTAGCGAATGAATATATAGTGTATGTGTAGCTATAATATTTATCTCACACCAATATGCATGCTTTCATGCTCTTTCTGTACCGCATTCATATAGAAGTGACTTCATCACTATGTGAACAGATGCCACAGGAAAAAAAAACTGGTCAAGAAAAAAAATGTTTCAGGCGTTGTTTCGATGTCTGAAGGGACATCACGCGACATCAAGTTTGGGGCAAATACTACGGCGTATACGTTGTCTCGTATCTAATCCCGACGCGCTATCATTTGGAACTGATGAAGTAATAGAACGAATGATAAACGTTAGTTACACTGTTAACCATCAGATATATAATGCTGTGGTGCTTCAGCTTGCTCTGCCGTTCAGCTACAATATTGTTTTTATGCTTGCTCCTTTTACATTCGACCATCTCATCAACTCATCTTAAGGCGTTTCAATTCTCGTGCCCGTCATAAAGGTCGGCATTTATTCGCATGTAATTCTTTTACAACTCCTGTCAAAAAACATGATGGAGATCATGAGCAATGTTTAATCCGTAATTTGTGCGATAAGCATGTTGAAATTCACACCTTGCGAGACGTAAACGTGATTATTGTTGCATAAGGCTGATTGTGAATTTGAAATGACGTGGGGTAGTCGATCTAGCGTTTTCAATTGATTTCAGTTGAAAAACTTTGGTGTTCGGATAAATTGGTTGCCAAAAATATTTTTCAGCTCTGCTAAACATTCATCTTGGTAGCACACTAATCTATCATGCCTACGGCTTTACATTGATCGCAGGATCATATGTGGGACAGCTCATGGGCTGGCGGGATGGAAGAAACAGCTGCCACTACAGAGCGAACGCAAGCACCCAGCCACGAATACCAAAGTAGAGCTTCCAGCCATGTTAATCACGGTGGACCACAATCGTTGATAGAAGCCGAGGCGAAAAAAGGCACGTGTGTGAGCGTAATACATCGAACGCATTTCTACTATCTCCTGGCTTCAAAAAATGCAATGACCCATTTATTCAGTGTATAGGTGTGTCAGCTCTGACGATTTTGTAAGCAAACCAAGTGAAATCTTACATATATATACAATAGCCGCAACGCTACCTTTCAGTGCAAGTAAAATACGTCATGGCGCTTTTCACGCGAATATTATAAGAAAGAGAGATTCATGGACAGTTTGTGGAATATTCATGCAGTGTCATTATAGGCACTTGAGAGATACAAAATGAAAAAGCAGCTTTTTTGTAGAACAGGAGTCATTTTGATTCAAAATTCTGTTTCTCCAAGTGTACGAAAGTTTTGCTCGCTCTCCTTTAGACTAAACATTTAGTGGGTGACATGCCGTCCCGCTGAAGTCACGCAAGTGCTCATTTGTTTCTGTCGAAATCAAACATCTTCTAAATATATCTACAGCATAGGAGAACAGCTTTAGTTATTAGCCCTGGCTTTTACAATGCAGGTATTCTTGCCGTCCTCTATACAGTCAGTGAAGTAAACTCGTCGAAGTAACCCTAATGTATACGATCGAGCAATGAGGTTTTGAGTAACCTCTGCTGAGCAGAAACAAGAGGTTTCCTTTTACCTGAAAGTTTCCATTTTCGTGGTGTCCTATGAGCATATCTGCCCACGATTATCTGATTGCACCAAATTTACAATCAAGAGCAACGAAAGGCTGTCTTTCTGGCACTCTTATTCTTTCTCTCAAGAAACGCCTTTGCATTCTTCTGGTGCCATGGAAGCTCTATATTCAAGAACTAATCACAGTATATCTTGCTTGATAAAAGTCTAGGTAAAATATATGAAGTACAATAATCATGAGAAAAATCATGGCTACGAGAATCTGTTATCATGCACAAGGGGCCCTGTGTATGATAGCAGACACAGTCATGATAGTTCTCGCGATTATCGTACTTCATGCAACTTACTCCGGCTGTGTGTTTGATTTCATTCTTTATTGTGAGGTAAGGAAAAAAAAACAAATCCTTGGCCCACACCATAAGCATATAGCAGGCATATGTATATAATGACAGACGTTATAAGCGACCACCTTATTGCTTTCAAATATTTGCTGCAGGACGCATATCAATTTTGAACTCTTTCATCATTAGTTAACAGCAATCATTTATATTCTATTCAGTAAAAAGATTCGTCAAATGTTACAGGCGTAATATAATACTTATAAGTCGACCAGTGGAGGCGACAAGTGGTTTTCGAATGGCCTCAAATATGCTGTAAAGATGCGCAAAAGGAGAGACCTGTGACGCAGTGAGCTAACCTATGTCAGGATCGGCCCCATTCAAGAGAGCAAAATATAGTGAAGCATAACATTCTTTATTGTGAGGTATAGAGAAGACATCCTCAGTCCACACCATGAAGATATAGCAGGCATTATTAGACGTTTTTACAGAGGAAGAAGATCCCCTCAATGATGGGCGTTTGCACGGGAGTACAAAAGCTGACGTCACAGCTGTGGCCCTGCATTTTTGAGGGGTCACGCATGTTAACAACAGACCAGAGGGGCTTAAGGCGGCACCCAGGGAGCATTCAGTAAAAAGTTCTATATATTGAAGCGCTCTAAGCGTAGTCGATGCGGAAGACAGCACGAAGGCAAGGAAAGACTGAAAGACGGCGCCATTTCAAAAATAACAATGGTTTCCACGGCTTATGTCTACTTGTAGTGTTGAAACTCTAGTAAACCGCACCATATACGCTTACTCCTGACCGGCACGCTTATACGCTTTATGAGGAATATCACCTATACGTACATCCACACGATGTAGTTGGTTATGTTCTGAAGCCGAAAATTACTGAAATGTTGTCTGAGAATATGAAGCTTTACCTGGACGACACTTGCTTTTTGCCTCCTATTACAGGTGTGCTTCGCAAACCCACCCGCGATGTCTGCAGTCTGATTTTGCTTGTATATCTGTTCTATGCACATTGTAACGTACCCTTGTTCTATCTGTATTAACAGGCATATATATATATATATATATATATATATATATATATATATATATATATATATATATATATATATATATATATATATATATATATATATATATATATAAGCATTGATGTTACTAAAAGCTTTTGTGAAGCGGACTATATAAATTCAAACTGCGTTTTATGGTTATGCCAATAAAGACAAACATTTCGAATCTAATGAGCGTAAGCACATCACGTATATTCATTGGAGACTCAGTGAGCCGATGCAGCAAGAATGCTTAGTATGCACGCGTGTATAGACAACACCACGACAAACACTATATATTGAAGACACATAGCGCCCATAGCAGTGGGCACGTTTCATGCAGGATGCTGATATGTACATCTTTCAGCAACTTCATTTGCAGTTAAGTTTGGCACCACGTAACCACGTTAGTTCAGCCTCACGTATATTATTTTAAACCTTCTAGTGATACAAAAGTAACAGCGTTGCTGTGTTACACATCGCTTATACACTTGTCGATAAATCTTTGTT